CACACACACAACACATACTCTCTGAACACAAATCAGTTTTATGTACCAAGCTGTCATTAAAAATCCAATAAAATAAAAAATAAATGCTTCAGTTCATAGCTCTGATGTTTAAGATTTTATTGGATTCAAGAAAATACAAAAAATATGAACATCATACATTATATACACACAAAACGTTGACATTAATGGTATTCTTTCACTGTACAAAATTAAGTAGCCTGTATAGATGCTCTGCACCTGACGTCACTGTAAGAGGAAGTCACTGGTGTTATGCCCACATACAGCCATGCTGCTTCACCATTGGACAGATCTCTTCATAAAGCAAAAAGTCAATCAATTTGAATGACAAGTTTTGCGTAAAATCTTCAATTTGCAAGAGATTATTCTGTTAAACAAATTAAAAAGATAACATTATGAAGATATGGTTCCACTGAAAATGAATCAATGTTAATTAATAGTCTATCGAACTCGCCCTTCTGTAATTATAACAAATAAACAGGTTTGTGGAACTTTGGTTTGCATTATGAATTTGCAAGCATGTAATAGGCTATCTATCCACTTGTAGGGGGCGTCTTCCTTTCAAAACAGTATTTTTTTTTAAAACATAAACTAAAAAAAACAATAAATGAAACAAGGTTGAACACAAAGCAATGGTCAGAATGGAATAAAAACCCATAATGGTAATTGCCAGTGTGTTCTGCGGTATGTGCTCCGGTGACGCGGTGTGACTTCACTCGGAGGCTGAGCAGCAGCTCCGCGCAGCTCGCACCGACTCCTCTGCTTCTCTCTGCGGGCGCCAGGCTGCACTAAGCCGGAGGGATGGAGTCAGCGGGCGCGTACGGAGCCGGTAAGGCCGGCAGCGTCGCCTTCGATCCGGTCGCATTCTTCACGCATCCCCGGACAGTGCTCAGACTGATGTCGTGGGTAAGTAAGCCTTCTCTGCAACGTGTGGGTTGCCATCAATGGACAGGCCTATCGTTACCTGCACCCCCCTCCCAACGCTGTCTCCCATTCACAATGTCTCCGTCTCTCGCTCTGTGCTTTGGTGTCTTTTATCAGGTTATTATTGATATACATTAGTAGGCCTATGTATTTTAAATAAAATGCTCGGTATTGTTGTATTTTGAATCTCTGTGCCGGGTCTGTCTAATAAATAAAAAATGATTTTAGTGATCAGCTTGTGGCTGGAGCTCCAGGAGCAGCGTCAGATTACCATATGTTTATCTGGAGCCTCTTTGTGTCTAGATGTGAACGCTTTGGATTTGAATGCCCTCTAACCAGAATGTAACACCTCTCTGTGTCTCTCGCTGCTGTCTGTGATACTGTGCAGATGTGAGTCACCACACAGCGTGTAATGTGCACTGAAGGAACAATTAGGTTTTAAAGGAGACAAAGCAAGGAAACAGAAGCACACAATAAACCATCTTTCTTCTTTGTCTCAATTCTGTTCACAATGGTTTGTCATAGCCAATTTGTCAGTGCTCCTTAGCAAACAAAATCAAGTTGAGTGGAAGCATTCAGATAAGAAAAAACAAACATATTACAAAACCAATCAGTGCAATTCATTGTGGCAATAAGACATTGAAATTAATTTATGTATGGGAAATAGTGAAAAATTACCCAAAATGTCCGGGATCCAAAGTTGATGATCAACAAATAGCTTATTATGTCAAACCAAAACCCCAAAATATTAATGTTATCATCACATAAGACAACGGCAAGCAGTGTGATGCAACAGGAAATGTTTTGCTTGAAAAATTAATTGATCTTTTATTGAAATATGTAGAAGTAAAATGTCAATATTACGTTAGGATGATCCACAAATCACAACTAAGAGTTTTCTCTATTTTCTATGCAAAATACTGTTTCTAATAACTACTGATATTATGCTCTGTGGATTATCCACAGTAACTAAACTTTGTTTTTTGACGGGTATCTTAACGTTTCTGCAAATAAAGCAGAAACTGTGCGTTAGCCTTTATATAATTGAATGTGGCAAAATGTTTTGTAACTTAGGTGAAATTACCCTTTAACAAATTCTGGGTAATCTCTACTTCACCAAACTGAATGAACATTTGCAGCCAGTGTACAATGCTTACAATGAATCCAAAATCAGTAAAACGTTGCCAATTACTGGGGGAATACATTTTTTTAATAACATTTGGATGAACTTCCCCTTTAAATCTATCTGTTAGAGAGAAAAACTGCATTTTTGACTCATCTACACTCACACACACTTGAAAAGGACCAGTGTTTGTCTATGGTGTGTGAGATGTGTGGCGTGTATGAGGAATGAAAGTCATTCATAGAGCAGTGTGAGTTCATTCTCTTCCTCCTGTTACAATAATAAAGACCATCACGTGTCTCCCCTGCAGGTCTTCTCCATGGTGGTGTTCAGCTGCATCGTGAACGAGGGCTACATCAACATCGGCAGCGAGCGTTTGCTCTGCGTCTTTAACAACAACGCTGACGCCTGTAACTTTGGTGTTACCATAGGCGTGCTCTGTTTCCTCGGCAGCGTCTTTTTCCTGATCCTGGACGTTTACTTCCCCTCCATCAGCAGCGTCAAGGACAGAAGACGGGCTGTCCTGCTGGACCTCGTCTTCTCTGGTAAATATACGCACACAAATACAGTGGGGGGAAAGTTACTAAGTACATGTACTGAAGTGTTTTACTCAAGTGCAAGTTTAAGATTCTTGTACTTCAGTATTTTCCTTTCTTTTACCACTGCATACTTAGATTGGGTCCCTTGGAATGATTTGACACATTTTTTAAACTTGTTTAATCATTGTTAAGAACAAAAAAAGATAAATGCGTTAGAAGTACATTAGACATGTGTGAAACATTTGCAGATTTTAAGCTTTTTATATTTGTTAGATTGTTTCAATATATGAAGCCTTTCAAAGAAACAAGAATTATGTCATGCTAAAATAAATACTTTTCTTCATATTATTGTATCAATGTTTGTAGTCCAATAATGTAGTAATGAGTAAGCCTACATGAATAGTACCCTACTTTAAATGTTGGTACTTATGGTATGTTTTGATGAAAACATACATTAAGTACCCCCGTGTTTACATCTTCAGGTCTTGCCAGCTTCCTGTGGTTTGTTGGCTTCTGTTTTCTGGCCAATCAGTGGCAGGCTACCTCTCCAGACGAGCTGCCATTGGCCCAAGGCTCCGACGCCGCCAGAGCCACCATCGCTTTCTGCTTCTTCTCCATCCTGACCTGGGTCTGTATGCTTATACCTGTGTGTGTTAAACCTTTCATCTCTCTTTTCATACATGTGTGAATGTATTCATCATCATCATCTTCATCATCATGTTTGTATGTATGTGTGTGTATTTCAGGGTTATCAGTGTCTTCTGGCAATGAACACATTTAAGAGCATTTCCTTCATGGAGGACAAGCAGAGGCTCCTACCAAAGAGCCCTACCACCCAACCACACACACACACACACACACACACACACACACACACACACACACACACACACACACACACACATTCACAGAGTCACGTTTACTTCAGTGATAAGTTAAGTAGTATAACTGGCAAATTCAGAGTAGGGCTTCAACAACTGCATTATGTTATTTTTCAATTCAATTCTGCTAGGAGAAGAGAAGTGAAAACAAGTAGTTACCTTGTCTTTATTATAACCAACCATGGTCATAACTTTGTGGGTCAGTGGTGCCCTAACGTTTATAGTTTTTAGAGTTTGATCCACTGACCAGCAGGATACATTTTGTGGTCAAAGTGTAAAAGCAGTGCTTCTTTCATGTCCTCCATTTCGACCATAAAGCTGCCCGTGAGCAAGGCCCTTAAGCTGCTCAGTAGCCAGCAGGTCAGACTGTGACAGTTTCCAGGCGTGACAGTGTGATACTGTGGGGACAGGGTGTTCTTATAAAAGAGCTGCCCTCAGCGAGATTTGAATAGAAAGTTTAGAAATATCCCAGAGAACATTGCCGACTGATTTATTATCCATTGACAACTCAATAGAGCTTGTCAAAACAGTTTGACCACCAAACCAATAGCAGCCATTCATCTCACTGTCAGAGGATGTGGAGAGGTTGAACTGTAATTGTTTCAGGGATGTACAGTATGTCACAAAAGACTATTTTTAACCCAATAGTTCTGCTGCAAATCTTTTCAATATTCTTCCGAAGAGGATGTATAGCATTTTGAGAGCCGTTTGGATGCCCTTTTAAATTTGCTTCTTGAGTCTCCTGATTTTGCAAATGAAAACTGTTGGATTGATTGCCATTAAGTCTTATACAGAGATTCATAGTCTTTTAGAGGATGAATCCTAGTGACTTTGGTAAAAACCTTTGACGTTTCATCTCTGCCATCATCAGAACATTTTTTCAACACTTTGTTTTATCACCAAAAGTAATTACATTCCTGTCAGCCTCAGCTTTCTGTTTGAGTGCTAATTAACAATTGTAGACTCTAAGGTTGTGTTCAGAATCCCATACTAACATACTAACATACTGCAAACTACATTTTCATTCTTTTTGTACTCTACACTGCTCCCTAAATTGATTAAATTGTGTGCCATTACCAGCAGACTTTCATATTGAAGTAAACTCAAGCCTCTCATGACTATATCAATCATGACTCCATGTCTGAAGTCTGAGCTACCATTGATTGAATTACAATGAATTTATATATATATTTTCTACAGTAATTGTATATGAGCTCTTCCAACTGTCCCCCCTCACTTGCTATCATTTGTAATGATTGTATCCAACTGGTTTATAATTGAATATGCTCCCGGTCTGTAGAGCTGCAATGCAGTCTGATTAAGTTTGTCTACCTGTCTCATATTTGAAAATCTTGCTAATCTGGTAGGCTATACATTCTTGCATTTCTCAAAAACACAAAATCTACATTCTATGCAGTTGATGGAACTACATACTATGTACATGTTGTTAGTATGCACTTTTTAACATAGCATTAGTCTTGCTGCCATTTAAAAGGTCTGTAACTATAATGATGTGCTTCTAATACAAATCAACGTTACGTGTAACTAACATCCTCTAATAATGTGTGTGTGTTTGTTTGTGTGTGTGTGTGTTTGTGTGTGTGTGTTACTAACAGGCTGTATTGACCCTGAGCGCACTGCGGCGCTTCTTAACCGGAAGCAACAGAAACTTGTTCACATGGCAACACCTGGAGCCTCCCGCTGGCAGCGCTCGAGCCACACCGTACCCTATCGCTAACGGAGCTACCATAGTAACCACTAACCCCTATCAGGCTCCGCCCTTCACTGAGACCCTGGACCCCCAGAAGCTCACACAGCAGAGACCTGTGGCCCCTGCCTTCTAGAGACAGACAAACAGAGGTGTGTGTTGAGTGATACTGCGTACGACCATACACCCATGCGTACAACGCGGGCACGGACTACTTCCTGCCTTGCTGATAAATGGTTTTCCACCCTCATGGGATTGGCGAGATTTAGGGTCATGTGACGATGTATGAGCTATTTTCACCATGGCAACTGCTGGCTCAGCTTAGATAGTTGTAACTCTGTGTGTCGAGAATACTGTCTTCTGTTAATGCACACACACTCACACACAGATATAGATGCACGGAAACACAGCTGTACTCACTCACCACTGGATATAAACACCTGGAAACACAAATTTATACACACCTGGAGGCAGAGGCGCACACACACACACACACACACACACACACACACACACACACACACACACACACACACACACACACACACACACACACACACACACACACACACCCTGACTGCATGTTCATATGGCGAGGTGCAGAGTAACGTTAGATGTAGATCAGTGATGATGCTTCATCTGCCTTATGAAGGGATACAAAGTATTTAGTGAAGGAAGTATTGAGGACAGTGAAGCTGTGTAGCTACTGTTTATTACTCAGTCAGTCCGCCCAATCAGAAGCTGCCCTGGAGATATGTGGCACTTGATTGGCTTTTTCAAGAAAGGCAGGCAGCTTGACAAATAGTTTGCTTGGATATGAGCGAGGGGCGGCAGAAATCCTTATATTTTCTTGGCAAGAAAATAAAGGCACGACAGCTTAATGCATTCTGAATGCTATACGGTTTCAGTGTTAAATATTCATGTGATTCAATAATTTATTGTGATATGATAAAGTGGTCAAATTAATTATGTAAAAATAAAATCTATCCACCACCGCTATCAGAGCTGTGAGTCTGCCTTTGTTCCTGTTATCTTTAAATAATGTCATCTTTGCTTCTTGCAATGTGAGCAACTCATTTGAATATGTATTGACACCCAGATCCAAGTATGTGTTTTATATATTACTCAAAATCTGCTGGAGGACCATGACAGGAAAGGGTACGTAAGATATTTTTAGTAATTAACGCTAAAGAACTTTTGGATTAAGCGATTTCTGATGAAAGACATTAACAGGGTATATGCAGATATGTCCTTTTTTGATTGTAAAACATCTTATTTAATATAGCACTTTTTTTTTATTTCAAGTAACAAAGTGCTTCACAAAAATAGTAAAATAAAAAATAGACAGGTCATAAAATATCAGATTTAAAAGAAAAACAATCATTGTTGACCATGTGACTCCAAATCAATACAGCGTTGTACATGTATACTGGACAAATAAGACACACTTCTTACAATGGGATTCTAATGCTTCTTTTTTTATGTGAATATTGTTGTTAACTCTTTGGTTTGTTAATAAAAAATATTGATTCCTTTCAACATCTTCCATGTCATTTGACCCACATGTACCAAATCAAATTGGCATTGTATTTCTAGACAGGACCATTTTACAACTCAATTTATGGATTTTAGGCTATTATATAGAAATATGTTAATGAAAACTCAGCAGGACCAGGTCCAATTTCGTTTCAGTGTCTTCCATAACATGTGGGCACAGAGGTTTTGAAAGTAAGATAGACATTGTTTCATTTAAATGGTCATTTATTGATGGTCCCTAAGCAAAACTCTTTGGTTATGAGCCATAACGTCTTGGTTGTGTGATTAGCATCCTCTGACTGCCAACTTTTTTCAACCTGAGTAAGAAGATGCTGCTTTCCTCAGAATGAATCCATGTGGAATATCCAACCTGAGACTTCACCATGGTTTAATTAACACTAAACAGTTTGATCAACTTTCAATACTTTCTAAGTCCCCGCAGGACACTTAGATCTTGTGTTTTCAAACCTTAGATAGAAAGGGTGAAAAGTGTATAAGGATTGTTATGGAGTCAAATAAAAGTCAGACAGGAAGTGGTTTTATTCCAACACTGTCCAGTCATGTTACTGCAGGTGAACTTACCATCATTCACTGCTTTCAGCCTACAGGAACATTATACTATATTATGAACATTCGCATCACCCAGAGTCAGGATTATCATCATCATCATCATCACCATCATCATCTTTAAAATCAGCATCCCATTACACTGATATCATAATCAATCATCTTCATTGCCACCATCATCAGCAGATAAATTGACATTCAGACATGTAGAAATTCACCTTTGTAGTTCTCACATCATTGCCGCTTTGTTAATAAAATATAATCTTAGCCTTGTTTCTACAAAGTTTTACACACCGTTATATCACCTGAATAAGCCCTTCTGTTTCTTACTGAATTTCACCCTTAGACCCGAGCAATAAAATCTCTTCAAATGTCATGGCGAGACGGGCCAGCTCCAGATTCAGACAACAGGGGGGTAATCTAACTCTGCAGACCTGTGATCACATGCGTCATACTCACCTGCGTCTGAACTACCTCTACCCTGAGAATACTAAGACGGATAAAAGGAAAGTGAGGGGGGTGAGAAACTAAGCTGACTGAACATTCAAATGGGTGGGATCAGGAAAAAGAGAGGTAGAAACTACTAAGCTGAGGTCACACTACTCTAACTAAGAGGCTCTAAGCGCAAATTGATTTTTCTGACTCGATGGATTCAGGAGGGGGAGGCTTCTTAAATGTCACAAAATGTCCATGTTTGATTAGACCGGAAAAAATACTGTTAGTTAAGAGGTACGAAAAGGGTCATATTTAAAAAAAAAAAACATCCACTCAATAAGATTCAACAAGTTGCTGTACAATTAGAATTTTTGGAGCAATAATTCTCTAATAAAGTGTGCCTGCACCAATCTACATAAGCGTGCAATTAAAAATGAAGCTTTTTAATATAAAATTATTTGTTATCTTTAGCTTTTGTGAGTTTTTCACTTAAAACTCAATTTGTTTTGTAAACATAAACTGTAATTTTCGCACCACAGAGAATAAAAGAAGGGATTTTTACTAAAAAGTAAACAGTTCTGGCAAATTCAAATGTAAATCTTAATAAGATGCTGTATGTAGAGCTGAAAGACAGTTTGATTAACTGGTGTATCATTCAAAAAAAAATGCAACTATTTAGATTGTTACTACATTTCTTCTCAAATGTGAATCAGTGTGTTGCAAACCATTTTCACTCTTTAATAGATAGACCAAAAAGATTCATGATTACTTAAAGAAATAATCTGCAGATTAGTCGCTATTTAAAAGAAGTTATTTTCTGTGTTATTGTTTTTTAACACATGTGTACATGAGCAGATTAGTCAGAAACTGTAACTGTGCTGCATATTTCAGGTAATTTTGTCTTGTACTCTGACCTAGGCTTGAGGTGCGTAAAAAGGATGGGAGTGAGGGCAGAAGAAGGAGAGCAAGCAAGGGGAAGGTTAATGTTTGAGTAAATATAGCGGGGGCGGGACAACTATGTCTCAACTAAAGCTAGGACTATGATAGAAGAAAAGGAAACGTCTTCTTATGTGCATGTTTTGTGCAGAAAGCACAACGGGTAAAGTCTTTGAACAGATACACACTCATACACACACAGTCGGAAATATTTCTGCTCAATCACCCTGTGAAACTCTTGTGATTGGAAGGGAGGGGACGAGGAGATGTGCCCATAACAGGAAACAGGTATCCTTCCTGTTTCGGACTGTAACTCCCGCCCTTCGTGTGCTTCGGCAGCACATCAGGCTCCTCCTCTTCAACAATATGATCATTTATTCAGTCGTCCACAGAACCCCCCTCTGGCTGATTAGGAGAGGGGGTTGTGGCGTCAAATGACAGAGTCCGCCTCCTCAGCTCAGAACTGCTGTCCATCACCTGGGTTGCCATAGTAATGGGCTCCTCTCCTGGCGGTGGGCTCACCCTCTGCTTCCTGTTCCTGCCCGACACCGGAGACACTGATTGGCTGAGGCGACTCCTGTGCTCCACGGGGCTAGGGGTAAGGTGTCTGCTTTTGTGTGGGGAGCCAGGAGGGAGTTGTGAGTGTGAGTGATCGGAACTGTTAATGTGGCCGACTTCCTCGTCTGCGGTGTCTGACTGTGGGCCGGGGTCCGGGCTGAGGCTGGCCGCTCTGCAGAGGGTCTTCGATGAGGTGGATTCACAGCTGGGCACCTTCAGGCTGGAGGGTCTCTGTGGGCTGACAGGCCTCTTCTCCACATCTGCTCCTGGCCGAGAGCCACAGATGGCCTGCTCGGGTACATGTTCTTGCCCAGTGGTTTCACTATTGCTCCGGCTGTTGCTCCTGCATGAGATGACCCTCTGGGGGTGTGTGAATTTCAGTGTGTGTACACTAGAAGATCTCTGGCGTGGTGGTGTGGAAGAGACAGCGGTCACAGTGAGGGGAGGCTCTGCCAAGTCGTCCGTTGAACCGCTCTGATCCATAGAGTCACAGCGCACAGCCGCCTGCAGACAAAGAAACACACATAGACGAGACAGACAACGTGTTGGGTTGTGCAGCTAAAATCGTTTTCAAAATGCTGTGGAGGATGACTAGAAAGAATCTCTAAAAGGATCAGAAATGTGAAGTCAAAGTGGCAAAAGAAACCTACCACTAGCGTTACATTTAGCAACTTAAATAAAACACAAATGGAAAACCAAGAAATATTAAACATACAGTATATAATGTATCCCCAATGCTGTTCAGAGTAATTAAATTAAACTACGGTACTCTTCTGCCATCAGCGAGGTGTCTCCACCTGTCCTCTGGCACCGTGCCCATGCTGCAACCGAAACAACCCCTGAGCTTTATGGAAATGAATGATAAATGCTTGCTGACGTAACCATTTTGAAGATAAGCATAAAACCAGGTGATTGCAATTTTTACAGCTAGGGCTGGCTGCTTTGCTTAGAGAATGATTTGCAATCAAGCCTTAGTTTTCCAAACAGATTGTAAGCGGTGGCAGACAGAATTTCAGAGTGAAAGCAAGTCTGACAGGTAACCGATATAAAAGCAGATGGTGTTATTCAATAGCCATTTTATTATGTAATCAATAGTTATTCATTAATAGTAAGTTAGAGCTATATTATTGTCTGTTGCCTCTTCAAATATCTAAAATTGGCTGAATCTCTTTCTGTTTGAAGAGAGGAGAAAAGCAAAGAAGAATGGAAATTAAAGAAATGCGAAGAAAATATAGGCAAGTGATAGTAACAAACCTGTCTCTGTAACACTTTGCTTGCTCTGCGGAAGGATGCTGGTCTCTTCAGGCCCGAGTTATCGGGAACATAAGAGGGGCTCAGCATGTTTCGGTCCAAACTTTCTTCAGGACTGAGCCACCGAGAAGAATGTCTGCTGGCACTGTGGGCGGGACTCAGTCTGAGAGAGGGTTGTCTGTCTATGCTGTGGCTGGAGGTGAGTTGAGGTCTGTCTGCGTTGCTGTCTGGATGGTGCCTGTAACCGTCCATACTGCGAGTGGAGCTGAGTCTGTGTCTGTTTATTCGATGGGCCGGGCTCAGCTTGTATCCATCTATGCTGTGAGCAGAGCTGAGTCTGTGCCGGTTTATTCCGTGAGCCGGACTCGACCTGTACCCCTCGATGCTGTCAGCAGGGGTGAGTCTGTGTGAGAAGTGTTTGTCGATGCTCTGAGCGTTGCTGAGGCAGATCTTTGGCCTGGAGCTGCGTCCGACCCCCAGCGAGGCGTGGCTGAAGGCCGGCAGAGCTCCGGGAACCTGCAGCATGGAGCCGGCTCCACTGGAGCACAGAGAGGTCATGGAGCCTGCAGGAGAACATGGGGCAGAGTTCACATGGACACATTGAACAAAAAAAGAATACCGTTTTGCCAAAGAGGGAAGATGTTTCTAAAGTCAGGGATTATCTAGAGCTTGATTTTGACTTTGGATTTGGCTGTTTGTGATATTATTGAATTGCCTTCTTCCAATTGATGGTGATGTTTTCCAAATATTTACTTATATATTTAATGTTAGGATGCTTTAAATCCAATATACTATACTGTACTAAACTACAATATAAAAGGAATAGTTACTGCATCACTTCTTACATTCTGGTGATATTCTATATGTTTCCTATTTCCAGCTATTCAGAAAAAACAACAATTCACTGATCCTATGAAAAAATATTGTCTGCATATCCGAAGCCTTATATCTTCTTTCTTTTTGCAATGGAGCATCATCCAAACTATTACAAACATCTCAGTGAACCCCACTGAGTGAAATGTTCCTCCATTACCATGAACATCAGAGATCTTTTGCATGTTATGAAAGACTATAAAAAATGGGATCAAAATAAAAATGATGTATATAACTCAAAATCCTAACATTGAAGTGTTGATCAATTGTTAATAATCCAATATTATCAAAGCAAAGTGAAAACATTCTAACACATCATCATCCTTAACTCAGGCCTTTGTTTTGAAATCCCCAAGGCTCAGCATCCTACAAAGCCATGTAATACAATTGTAAAATCCTATTTTAGATGATTTGTGAGTTGATATAAATGTTACTGATGTGTTCAACTCGTCTGTGATTTTGTTTCAAAATCGCTCCGCTTTGAGGCCCATTAATTGAAGCAAATGGAAATCACATATGGGCAGAATTTGTTATATTAGCAAATATCGTATCGTTTTCCAGAGGATTAAAATAATATCGTAAAGTGGTAAAACTTTCTATTTACGTTTCTGTAATTTTGTTTTGTACAAACAAGTCTAACCAATTTGTTCCTGAAAAAAAGACAAAAAATCATCTCCCTCTTAAAGGTCTTGTTGTGCTGCATCACATCTCAACTGCATTTTCTGCTATTTATGGAAGCAATAACCTTTACAGCGATCAGTTAGTGGTTGGAGCACAGTGAGAACTGTTCCTCACTTTAATTGGCCATAAACAACCAAATTACCTGAGTAGCTGTAGCCGGAGTACGCCTCGTGGCAGATGGGAGGATAGGGGGAGCATCTGAGTGGCTGAGCGTAGCTGTCGCTGGGGAGAGACGGCTTGCGTCCTATGCTCAGCAGGTTGCCATGGGAACAATCCTCATCCTCAACCTGCACCTGTCACATGGGATCATCACCGCTGTCATCGTTATTGCCACCCACACCCTAACCCTCTCACATAAAAAATAGGAAAACAGACTTTTTGTGTTACCTGGGCAGGTGTGTCCACGTTAGGATGCTCTCCACCGACAAACGCAGAACTGAGTCGCCGGCAGGCCGCCTCCCTCTCCTCCCTCTCCTTCATCTCCTCCCTCTCCTTCATCTCCTCCTTCTCCTTCCTCTCCTCCATCTCCTCCAGCGCAGCCTCCTTGTTGCTCTCCTCGAGGTGCTTCATCAGAACGGCCACAACCACATTGACCAGCACGAACTGAGCCGTAAGGACGAAGGTCACGAAGTAAACAGGGGAGATCAGAGGAAGGTAGGTGAGGCAGTGGCGTTCATGAGGACGACACTCTCGCAACGTATCCTGGAAGACAAGGGGAAAGAGATTACAAGGCAATATAGAAAACTGATTAAAGGTTGTTTTCAGATATATTTAGCGGACATATTGTGCTTATTTTCAGGTTCATAAATACAAGAACATGTTTCTATGATGTTCAAAAAACACATTCGTATCATACTGTCAATCTCAATATACCTGTATTTACCCTCCGTTGTAAAAACCTGTCACTTTGAACACCTGAAAAACCTCAGTCTGCTCTGCTTGGCTTGTTAGAAACATTGCAAAGAGTTATCAGTGGTGGAGTTAATCAGATAGTTAGGTATATTGAGACTTATGAGAAGCCAAAACTAAATGACTTCTTATATCCTGTGTTTATTATCTTGGCAGCCCACATAAAAAAAGCAAGTTCAGTTCAGCAGGGACTCCAGATACCCAAATGTTTGTTCTTATTTAAATGTTTCCCCTCCAGTTGACTAAGTTGTATTTCCTCTCTTCTCCAACAGGGGGAGATGTGTATCTGAGTGTGAACAGACCTTCAGCCTGTCACAGAAGAATAATATACTCCCCTAACCCTCTAATGTCAGCAGTGATCTTCCCTCTGCTTAATGCAATGCCTGTCTCCTAACCGACGCTTTGAGACAGAAACATGTGCGCAGACACAAACATCCATCCGTCTTCTTAAAAACTCCCACACAGCAGAGGAGAGGAAGTGAAAATAACCTTCATAATCCCATTCCAGTTGTCCCCGGTAGACACCCTGAAGAGTGTGAGAAAAGCCATGCCGAAGTTGTCAAAGGTGGCGTGGCGACTGAGGCCCTCACATGGGTTATCGTCTGAACACTCTGAAAGAGGATGAAAAGAGTATTAGAGGCTGTGAGTGAGAGAGGAAGGCGAGTGGAGAGAAGAAAGAGGATTGTGTGTAGATTATTGCACTCATTAAAAACACTGATTCTGAATCAACATCATTAATGTATGTAACAACACAATTTATGCAAATTACGTAATCTCGCCAGAGTCAGTTGAGGCACACGCACTCACACACACATCTGTGCGATTTATATGCATGCACTCACGCACGCACATGCATGCACGTACACGCTCACACACACTAACCCAGTTTTCCAAAGAGCTCAACTCCCAGAGCTGCATAGATGAAGAACAGCAACATGAAGAGCAGACCCAGATTCCCCACCTAGACAGACATATCACACGCACACACAGATATAAACAGCGTATGATACACAGAAAAAAAGACACAAACATGCAAACAGATAGAAAGAGGCAATAGACAGAGAATGCTTAAGCCTTATTGCATTGATGTTTACTACATTTAAAAAAAATCATGACACCTGGAGAGTACAATCAGATGTTTTTATTTGAGAAACGGAGGGGCACTTTCATATCCTCGATCCAGTCCTCATGAACCACAAACCTGTTTACTCTCATTTAAAAGCAATTCACAGGGACTTGGCTTGTGTAACCCCATGGTGGGAGGTATGGAGGTGTCTGCCTAGATGATGAATAAACGTATTGATGAAGTGCACTCGGACACCACTGCACAGACCTGGGTTAGATCCCCCGCAATGATCTGTCACATCAAAGACAATCGGCATCATCTGTGGGTGGGAAGGCAGTGAAGGATCATGGGGAATTTTGCTGCACTAATGTGTGGACAAGCATCGAATGAACGAAGCTCAGTGTGCTATGATTTTGGAATTAGCCACTATAATTATAAATAATTATAATTTAACTGCCTTCTAGGAATAGGATCGAACAAAATAAATCAGTTTATAAACGTCTGCCTGCCCTGCATAGCTGTTCTTCCTTATTGTACACCACCTTCCCTCCCCCTTCCTCTCTTCTCTCTTATTTTCTGGCGGGGTCCCCTGAGTGTCCGCTGAGCCGAGGGGCTATGGTAGACCCTTCATGAATCCTTCCCCCCACACCAGAGTGCAACAGTTCACTATTCTCACCAATTACTCTTCACACGTTTCATATTCAAACAAGTCTAAGTTTCACACACTAGCAGCTGTAGGCAGAGCATTGCTTTGAGTGTGGATGACGTACAAATGCTGTGAACACGCTGATAATTAGCAGTAGTGTTTACCATGTTAAAGTATTGATGTAACGTTGATTCTGGACCAAACCTTTGATTGACGATATTATCCAATTCATTGTCAAAATATGCTTATAAATAGCACTACAACATACTGGAAACACTTTATGTCTTTCTCACTTTTATTCCATGCTAGTAGCTTAACAGTGTTTCTATAGTCGCCATCTTTGTTTGTCGGTTAGCATGCTAACATTTGTCTAATAGCATCTAACATAAAAACGCAGATGTCTTTTATTTGCAGATATTTGACCATAAACCCGTTTTTTGGACACCTCAAATGTTTTGGAATCAAGAAAATGTGAGAGTTATAAGATGGGATAAGAGCTACAATTTAAAGGTGTTACTCAAGAAGATTTTCTTTTAAAAGCCATATATCACAAATTCCAAATAACTGGGGTTTTGTTTTATGTCTGATCAACTTCTTGATGCCAGGTGTTGCTGTCATTTACCAGGATTCTACAATGCTCTTAAACAGGAGATCTAAATAAGCTTCAGGATATATTAGATAGATGGGCGAGACCTTATAACCAAGGTAACATAACATTTAAAGCTTTTCTGACAAGACACAGCCTCCAGATATTGAGTTCAAAGGGCGCTCAGTGGGTAAGGTTATGTAAGGTATCACAGAAGTTATACAATCTCATCCTGAGGGGAATATGGACGTGTGCAGCTAATTCCATGGCAATCCCTCCAATAGTGGCCAACAATCTAACCTCGTTGTGGTGTTAGAGGAAAAGTAAGAGGGCAAATGAAGTCATTAGCCTTCATCATCTGGGGGTCACAAATATGTATACAAAATGTCCTCACAATCCATTCAATAGCTGAGTTATTTCAGTATGGTGGACCGACCACCTGTCCTTGCCTCACCTGGGGCCACTAATGTGTCTAAAGAGTGCTTGGGAATATCTTGTTTAGACCAATAATAGCACTGCGTCAAAAGAAATGAAGCATCCTGAATGAGACAGGTGTCATCGTGGAGGCCTGGAGAAGATACGTGGATATGGCCTCATAAATCACTTGTGCCGCATCCCAGTGCAATGTCATCTGGAAAGGCTCTGCACTGGCCATTCAGATCGGTGCAAGTTCCATACAGGATGACATGTTTGGCTAATATTACTTCTTACATCACAAGCATCAATAAAAGAGGAGAAAATATACTGCTGCTGTGACAACTTGAGATGTTTTACAGTTCAGCAATTTATTTTCCTTTGTGAATAAATTGCTGTATGGCGTCTTTGTGACGATAAGCTTTCAGTCTGGACTTTCTGGCTCATCATTTATCTTCCAACAGATACCCAGCTGCAAAACAATCCTAGAAAAGCAGTTGTGAAGTTATGCACGATAAAGTAATGATAGAACTGGTGTTTTTATCAGCCACACTAAAACATTTAAGGATCAGCCGTTTTTTATTTTAGCGTGAGGATGTAGTCATGCTTGTTTGCTGGTAATTTAGTGTCACTGAGCAGTCTGTTAGTAAATCGTGTGGGGAGCAGTCAGTGCCAGCCCTGATGAATCGTGGAATAAAACAAGCTGCCTGCAATTCTTCAGATCTGGAAACCAGGCGCGCAGTTAAAGAGACATGTTTTATTTCACAACATCAGAGCTGCCTCTTACCTGAGGCAGCGCTTGCATCACCGTGTCCAACAGAGATCTCATTCCTGTAGCCATCTTCAACAGCTTCAGCACTGAAACATGGTAAAGTGTCAGCTCTTATCAGACACTCATCATCATGCTTGTGTGGTTTTATGAATGGTATATCTACTGTTATTCTATCCTGAACTATGTTGCACTATAATATGTTATACATTCTTAGTGCATCAAATGCTATATTTTATATATTTGTCTGTAGGTTAATACAGACAACATTGAGACTCATTGCGCAATCATAGTATGTATTATTCCATTTACAATTACACCATATGCTCTCTTAATAATATTGTTTTACTTACCTTGGAACGTTGTCTTTATTTGTTCTTGTACAAGTTCTACTCTTATTGTTTTTTATTTCTCTATATATCTGGACTTATAACTGTCTAAAGGACACTTGTGCGGCTGCAACAACTGAATTTCTCCCCGCGGGATCCATAAAGGGTTAACTTATCTTGTCTGTTTGTGTGTTTGTGTCACTCTGTGTGTGTACCTCTTGTTATCCTTAAGACGCGCATGATGCGTATGATGGTGGGGTTGATGGGGAGGGAAGCATTCAGGTCTATTTCCTCCAGAGCGATTCCCATGATGGACATCAACACAATGGCGAGGTCCAACTGGTTCCATCTTCACACACACACACACACACACACACACACACACACACACACACACACACACACACACACACACACACACACACACACAGACATTTTTCAGTTTTTCTAAGGATGAAGTTTAAGTTTCTTTATTTGACAGATGACAGTGTGGAAATGCTGTCAGATGAAACCCTAAGAGGTGGCGCTTGTGTCACATGAGCTGCAAACAGCTTACAAGGCGCTCTCCAAGTTCAAGTTTCTTATCGTTTGAATAAAATGTATTCAGAAGCAGGCCTTGGCAATCGAGTTTAATTCTCAGGCTCCCTCCAAAAATGCTAATTAAATACATTTATAAAACTCAATGTGAATCTAGATCATAACAAATATCTGATCTCTTATTATGAAATAAGAGATCAGATATAACATGTAAAAAGGGGATCGTAATAAATGTGTAGAGGTGTAGATATGTATAGAACAGTAAGTACAAATATATGAATGTAGATTAAGGAGTTTAGAGCTTCAATACCTCTCTTTGAAAAAGCGGCGCAGCCCAAAAGCGAGGAGTTTGAGAATGGTCTCGATGACAAAAACCACAGTGAAGACGTAATTGCAGTACTTCAGTATCTCCTCGAAGTACTGCGGGACACAAAGACACACACATCAAACACACGCTGGGGCTGTACTGTACCAGCGTAAGTCGCTTCATTACTATGGTTCTAGGGCAGGGAGTAGAAGGTGTTGCCATGGTTACCTTAGGCTGGTTGTAGTGCTCCATGCTCATGGTGATGAGGTTTGTGAAGATGATGATGGTGATGAAGAGGTCCAGGTAGTGGCTGGTGCACACGGTGTGGATGGATCGACGCAACGGGGAATAGTCAGCGAAATATGGCTTCTCCTGGGCCCCTGCGTACACACACACACACACACACACACACACACACACACACACACACACACACACACACACACACACACACACACACACAGTCATTCAAATTATTCAGAACAAAATATTATATCGGCAATGAAGTCACCGATCAAGTGTGTGCCAAGTGGCGCACTGCCATGTGTGGGATAGTGCATCTGTGTGTGTGTGTGTGTGTGTGTGTGTGTGTGTGTGTGTGTGTGTGTGTGTGTGTGTGTGTGTGTGTGTGTGTGTGTGTGTGTGTGTGTGTGTGTGTGTGTGCAGACTAAAACTGCCACCTCAGGAATTCAATCCTATCCATCAGGGACGCACACACACATATACACACAAACACACACACCTCAAGGTGTCTTTGGGCAGAAACGCTCGCTGCCTGCTGCCAGCCAGTTAACTGACTAAGAGGAAAGCACTACTAGAGATTACACTGTAGAGAGAGGCGGACAGAGTGAAAGTGAGAAAGAGAGTGCAGTAGATATGTGGAGAAATGATGCATGTACTCATACAGTATGTATGCAAAAAGAAGAGGTTTATCGTGTGTATGTGTATGATAACAGCTGCAATATATGGCCTGTGTTTGGACACACCTGTCTCATGTGTTTAGTCTTGGGATGTTTTTCTGATTTGTGCTGGGCCCTTGGGTTCAAACAAGGGTGTCCCCTTATAATATAACATTCTAGTTTGAGTCCCTTTCCTTTGTCCTGGTACACAATGCAGAAGTCCATAAAGAGATGTTTTTCCAGGATGGTGTGAAACAACTTGCCTGGCCTGAACAACAACCAAGTCTCGACCCCGTCAAACACCTTTTGGATGAACTGAAACACCAACTGGTTGCCCTGCAGCTTCTTAAAGCTTCAAATTGTCATTGGAAGGATTTTTGAAGTAAATAATCTTCAAATTGTTTGTTCTTTGGCAGCCTTTCCAATATTGTGTAGAGCAGATTGACTTACAGTTCATTACACATTTGCAAATGATCCATGATCACTTTCCATAACTGACAGTTTGTTGCTGTACTTGTGTTTCTTATATTCAACAACATGCCATCTTTTCTTTATTTTCTGCATGTAGCGAATGAAAACTGTACAATTGTTTCTCCTGCTTCAAAGACATTCAAGTAAAAGAATGGCAGTGGTAGCTGTGACGTAGGATACACACAAATCACACTTTGCTCTAGAGGCTGAATTGAAGCAATTACTTATAGCCAGGTTCAAAACTCTCGTAGGAAGCCTTCCTCCGAGATTGAAAATGTTAGAGCGGACAGATTTTTAAATAACATATTCAAATTTCACATATGGGTGACACACTTTTTGCCATGTGCTGTATGCCACTCGTTCTCCCTCCTCCCCTTCCCCTCCCATATCTCACTTCTCCTCCTCTTCTCCAGCCGTTTCAGTCGTTTCTCCTCCCTAATCCGCGCCTCCTCCTCCTCCTGCTGCTGGCGACACTTGTGAAAGTTTTCCACCACCACGCCCACAAACATGTTGAGCACAAAGAAGCTGACGATGAGGAGGAAAGAGATGAAAAACAGCAGCATCCAGGGGTTGTTGTTTCTTATTGGCTGCAGAGGGATACAGAGAGAGAAAAAGGAAGAGGAGAGGAAGAGGAGGAGGAGAGGTAGCATCCAAGAGAACCAGAGGGTGACGAATGATGGTGAGGAGGGGTGAAGAGGAAGAAGAGGGGAGAGAATAAACAAGACGACAATGTAAATCCTGAGTCAGCACAGCACTGTCAACTCACATCTATTCATCCATCTGCCTTTTTTCTTTTTCTTACACCTTCCTCTCCTGCTGAAATGTTTCCCATTTCTGCTTTAAAACATAACATCAGATTGTGCCTGAGTCTGGCACAAAACAGAACCAAAATACTGTTCAAAACGATGTATACGACTGAATAGTTTGCATTTCTCCCTGATGTTCTTTTCTTTTTTTACTTCCCACATCCTCCCCCATCCTCCCACATCCTCCCTCTTCCTTCTCTGTATGTATTTCTTCACCTGCTGGTCCACTGCGACAGCGTCCAGGCCGTCATACATGATGCTGACCCATCCATCTTTACATGACAGAACAAACAGCGACATCAGCGCCTGCAAGAGTGAGACACACATAAATAAGTGTCACGCTGTCAATCCATTTGAACGAGCGGTGAGTGCTGTGTGTGTTCAGAGTGACAAACCTGTCCTATGTTGTCAAAGTTGTATTTCCGTCGAACCCATCTGTATCCCGACCCCAGGCAGTGGGTTTTATTGGTGATGTTGCTCACATCCAGCCCCTCGCAGTGGAAGAACTTCCCTTTAAACAGCTGCATTCACAGACAGATGTGTGCACAAACGATTAACACATACAATAACACTGTCCCTCCCAGGTAAATAAGGTTTCACAGAGTGTAACGAGGTTCTTAAATTACTGTACAGTAAATTACTCAGCGAGTGCTTGCAGGCCTACTGTATGTTGCAGCTCAGATATGAAGTACCATCTGGTCCGGTCTGCTTCACAGTCATTACACACTGCAGCGTGGAGTGTTCTCATTACAAGATGATTCAGTGTGTTTTTGAGAAATATAAGCCTGTGTGTTAATATTAGCTTCAGCATTCATAAAGCATCTTTTAATTTGCAAGCGTTTATTTGAATAACCTTTTAATTTGCAGGAATATTTGCAAAATGGCAAATAATTAAGAGGAGAGTTCACAGAAAGTGTAAATTACTTTTGTTCCTAAAATACCCTTAAAATAATCTTAAAAACATTATTTTGGCCCTTCAAAATAAAGCAAGGTGGATATGAGTAACAAACTGTTAAACCAAAGAGCATTTTTCCCACCGCAAATTATTTCCTTTGAAGGACTTTGAGGCCTGAGGCGATGAAACTGTGTGTCGTATTACACAAAATCAAAAAGCAATTATCAAAAGTAATAAAGAAATGATTTGTGTTACGCAAAAAACATTTTCTTTCTCAAGCCTTTAATAATTTGCAACTCAAAGGAGAGTCCTGGCCCCCATATTGAGACCCACTGTGTTATAAAATGATAATCTTGATCCTTCTCTTTATACATGCTTTTATTTAAAACAGGTTTAATTTGGAATTCATTAATGACATTAATAATACAGAAATCATGGGGGAAATGTTAAGAAAGCCCCTTTTCAGCACAATCCCTACGTAGTTAAACCATTGTATTTTTAATTAATTCCAGAGACTCTGGTGCCTAATCAGCAGCTCATTTGCATTTCCTCCCAATTTTTCTCTTCACTTTGTATTACCTGAAGCATTTTGTGAGGTGGGCCTTGTGAATTTTAAACCACAGTGATCAATTTCTTTTCACATGAGAACAGACAGCAAGCTTTGGATGTCTGGGCACTTAAAACGTGGGAAAAGCTTTAACTGATTATTGGTCAGTGCTATAATAAAAAAATGTAAAAGATATGAAAAGGCTGTTCCTGCACCAACGGGGAAATATAGAGTATAAATGTTTACCTGGACTCCCAGAATTCCAAACACAATGAAAAAAGCACAGCAGATGAGGACGATATTCCCGATGGGTCTGAGAGAAGTGATCAGAGTCTCCACCACCAGTTTGAGACCAGGAGCCCGACTTATCACCCTGCAACACACACACACACGCGCACGCGCACACACGCACACACACACACACGCACACACGCACACACGCGCACGCACACACACACACACACACACACACACACACACACACACACACACACACACACACACACACACATGAACAAATACACTAGATAGCAGTGGTGGAAAGTACATTTACTCAGGTACTGTACTTAACTTTTCCGTGCCATACTTCTACCTCACTACCATGGATTGAATTTTTTTTTATTTGCAGGCATTTTGCTGATTATTTAAGTCGTTTTTTGTTAAGAAACATTTCACAGTTTCATCTTCTGAAACGTGAAGATTTCTGGCTTTTCTTTTGAAATATTTTAATATTTTAGGATTTTATTTAAATCGTTTTGAGTTTATTTTCTGCAATTAATACTTGTATTTCTTATAATTTAAGTACATTTCCTGTCCAGTCCTCAATGCAGTGCTTTTACTTGGAGTGATTGAGTGTTTTTACAGTATAGTATTAGTACTTTTACTTAAAGAGCCTGTGACACGAACCCAACAACTGTTGTGCAATGAAATAGTGGGCTACTAGTAATCTCGAACCGTCAGTTTAAAAAAGAAAAAGCGATACCGTTCCGATAAATATCAATAATTTCGAACATCGCGGGAAAATTCCTTCGACTCATTTTGAGGTTTTGGGGGAAGCCGGAGTGACGTTCAATGCGGGAACGCTTCACTGTTGCGGCGAGAGAGCCAAATACGGACAAAGTGTGTTGTCATGCGGATAGAAATGGGTGAATTACTGAGTTTAGCGGCACGTTAATAACGTTTTAATGAAGTTGATTACAGCTATATTCATATTGTCCAGTGCTTTCATGTCAATTCCGGCGAACATTAAACATAAATGATCTAGGTGAAGATATGATTAAATTAGGATAAAAAGTGGTTGAGAGCTGCTGAATTTCCTCCCGTCGGATTGTGAATAAAAACAAATTCGAATATTTTTGTAAACTCCAGGGATGAAACTTAATTTATTAGTGCTTTCATTCAATTCGGCGAACATATGATACATTTAAATTGATCGTGAGTATGAATGAATTAAAAATCTTTTGTTTGAGCAGTTGCATTCCTGATGAGGGAAAACAAACCTAGCTTTTGTAGTTGCAGTCAGATGTGTACGTGGCGTTGGGACCGGGGACGCCGTACCCCCACTTATTGAACATGATTCTTTTATAGTCTTAATACATCTAAAAATCATTGCCAGTGTATCAGTTGCAAGTGTGTGTTTGTATGTAATAATGACGAAAACATAATAGGCAATTTCACAGTAATTATAATAAAAAATCGAGCTCAAGCATTATGCAACTTGATTTGGAAAGCGTGTGGGTGTGTGAAGGCAGAACTGTGGTGTAGGGTGACCAGTGTGTCCCGCACTGTGCGAGGACTGCACAACAGCATTTTAATTTGTCCCGCATTCCCACACATTGAGACTATG